TCTGAAGTAACGCACAAAGATGTCACAGTACAATTTTTCCTTTAACCTCACAGGTGCATGTCCGATAGAAAAAAAAAAAGTTGCACACATGCAGTTTTAATCCATGCTATAAAAAACATCAGGATAAAACAGGATATTCATCACAAGCATTCAGTTAAACCACTTTATCAAGATAATTTACAGCAAACAGAGTTCATGTTATTTGTGCAGATCACATGGGCGTTCATGTGGCCTGGCATGCTGACATCCTGCTGCTTTAGCAGAGTGACGTGGATGCGACGATGAGCAGTGGGAGGCAGCGAGGTGTAAGCCTACTTCATTAAAGCTGGTATGTTTACCAGCAGTGATTTTTTTTCTGTCCTACACAATAAATGCTTTTGATTGTTACTCCTACACTGACACAGCCTCACAGAATCAGTCTTCTTCTTGAGGGCAAACCTATGTATCCCAAAGAAACGATCTACATAATCTCACATGGAATAGTGTTAAAATCATTTCGTTGTAGAATGTGATATTTTAATCTTGAGGACTTATCAGGGTTAATGGAATTTCTTGAGTTTAAGACACTGTTGAATGCTCACCTACTTATAATGCATAAAACATTTTTGTCAACAAAAAACAAAAGGAAAATTCAGCTAACCACACTCTGTAGTTGGCAGGTTTGACAACTTTAGAGTTTCTTCCCATATTGAAGCAAGGGTGAGAGCAGCACTGTAATCTGGAACTACCGCTATTTCAGATTTCTATACATCCTGTCACACCCATTGACTAAGTTTATTTTAAATGGTACCTATTATAGTTTTACAAAGGTGGAAATAATATGCAGATGTGCAAATAACCCGTATGAGCTCAGCTCTTATCCATAACATGACCAACTATGCAGCTCTGGCTTTGAAAAGGTTCTGCCCCACTGTTGTTCAAAACTTGTTTTTGTGAGGTGCAGCCAGTTAGTAGAAAAATGTATTAAAGGCATAGTTAAGTGTGCTAAAAAAAAAAAAGGTTTCTTTCTGACGGAGGATAAACAAGGTTTTTAGAAGTGACTTTGAAGCAGCTTTCACACAAAGAAAAATCCTACTTTAATAGAGTCCAAGATTAAAATATGGACTTAATAAAACAGGTTCCCCTCTAACTGAAACTATACAAACTATATAAACTTTATATATTTATGGCCCTTTTATAAGATTGTGTAATGAAAGAGAGGTCAAGTTACATTTACTTTTCACTAAAATCAGAGGCTGATTGTTAGGGACAAACAAAAAAGAAAGCACTACACCTCCCATAGTTCTCATTGTATATTGTGCTGTACGAGACCAGAAAGCTCAATGGGCGCACAGAGTACAAGGGTCAGAGCATAGCAAATGGTAATAACTATAAACAGATATCTACATATGAATATGCTGAATTAACAGGCAAGAGATGAGGCATTTGGTCATTTTTCTCCCATTTGTTTAATTAGTGAAAATGTCAACCATGCTTCCCATGCTAACACTTTTAGTAGGATCCTGAGCCATTTTTAAATGATCTCTAGCTCTGCCAGTTGGGCATTTCTGAGGATTTCTGCACTGATACTAAAAGAAAATAAATTGGTAAAATTATTCTCTATCATGTGCTGATTAGATTTTTTAAGAGTTGCCCGCAAATTCTTGAAAAATAAAACATAACACAAGCTGCATTTCAAAACAGAAACAAGAAGAAGAAGGAAGAGAAGGAAACCCTTAATCTTTATACAACCCTCACTGTTATGTAAGTGTCATGCATGTTTCATACACAAATACATGTGCTGGATGTACTGGATGTACAGTATATACGAGAGAGTGGGCGTGAGATGAAGCTCACATCTTGTCTTGATAAATAAATAAAAAGGCCATGCCTTGTGTTTCAGGAAGAGAGTCACAGAGTGCCGGCAGTTTGCTGCAAGTCAACTCTCCAGAAAACGTACGCACAATATATACAGATTATACTGTATATTTACATGTACTTATAAAAAGACTGTTCCTGCCTGATCTGGTCTTATCTGGTTCAGGCTGACGTTGCTCCAGTCTTGAAACTAGTGCTACATTTTGCAATTCAACATCCCGACTGTTGTCCGGGGTCCCCGCCATCCCGTCACCTCTCCCCTCCACGTGGAGGGACCCTATTCAGTCAAACCGAATAAGCGTTTTTATCCTGGGATGAGATGCTACACTTAACAGTATTTCAGATTTGGCAGAAAAACGTTGCTACGGAGTGGATTTGATCATTAGCTTTTAAATGTTTTGCACACATTAAACACGCATCACTATCTAACAGTTTGCTTATAAAAAATACAGGCCTGTCGTTCATAATTTAAATATGAATAACCTACGTATAAACATTGATAAGGCCTGTTAGTCATGATTTAAATATGATTACAGGCCTCGGTATAAAATGTCATACTTAAATGAGCAGAAAGAAGCAGCATTACACATACATTATACTGACCAATACACAAAAAGGCAGAAATTTTGTACAGTGTATAAACGTCTAAGAAACTGAATTTACAAGCAGTTCATAACATATTATATAACAGACATATTCATTAAGCATCACCAGCCAAGAAGTATATCGTTATTTTGAGGTGTGAGTTTAGAAAAAAGTGTTGTAAACCTTCTTTTATATTTATTCCTTGACTAAATATGGACCTACCACACACACAAACTCTACACTACACATCTCAAAAGTATAAAGAAAAAAATGCTTTTCTTTGGACATTTACATGGATTAAAAGGGACCTCTGGACAAGGTGGTTGATGCTTGTCTAACAGGACATGGTTTGTGCTTTGCTTTCTTATACCCATTAACGGGAAGGCCGAAACGTATCTGAAAGTGACAGTGCAATAACCTGAAAACTAAGCTCGATTCATATAGGCTTTAGCAGTTCTGTAGCTTACTTCTTTAGAAAGGAGAGCAGCTGTGGTTAGCTTGGATTCACAGCAGTTACAACAGATTGCAACAGTTACCTACTTGTTTGTCCACCCGTGACCGTGACAACGACAAGTGGAAGAGAATTGCTGAACAGATGGATGGACGGACGGATGGACGGACGGACGGACCTACTATTAGGTAGAACATTTTTTAAAAGTCTGTCAGAATCAAACAATGCAAACAAGTGCAGTTACTATTGAGAGATATGGTAAATGGCCTGTATTTGTATAGCGCTTTACTTGGTCCTAAGGAACCCAAAGCGCTTTACACTATACACAATCATCCACCCATTCACACACACATTCACACACTGGTGATGGCAAGCAGCCACAGCCGCCCTGGGGCTGACGGACACTGGCGCCACCGGGCCCTCTGACCCCCACCAGTAGGCAACGGGTGAAGTGTCTTGCCCAAGGACACAACGACCGAGACTGTCGAAGCCGGGGCTCAAACCGGCAACCTTCCGATTACAAGATGAATTACAAGACGAACGCCCAACTCTTGAGCCACGATCGCCCCGATATATAGATATATAGAATAGTTGCTGTATCTAAGCCAATGGTATAGTTGGATTTTTTACGTAAATCAGACATTATTATTAATATTATTATTATTGCAATATACAACAGCCAATTGCTTTTTGGGCATTTATTTACCAATAGAGACAAATTCTATATCCTTTTTTCTTTTTTTTCCGATGAAGGTAACCTAAGACTGATGAGAGGTGGAATATATTTTAGTGTGACGTATCAAAGACACTATTTCACAGCACAGAGGGGTACAAAATGTGTAAACCTGGTAAGGGGGTCACTTTCTTGTAGTGTCAATGTCTTTCTATGCAGCTAAGGTGGCTACAGCTAATATGGAGTCCAGCAAGCCAAAGAAGCAAATTAAATTCCTTCCAATTTTAAGCTAACTTTTATTAGATGCCATGCTGACTGTTCTTGCTAACAATAAGTATAACAAAGAAGCAAATTTATGTGACTTATTAGCAGCCATGTTGAAAAAGAGAGAGTGTTAATTTAAACCACTGCTGTGAATCTAAGCGAAGAGCAGCTGCTGTCACCTTTAAAGCCTTCAGGATGTGAGTATTTGATGATGAAACATGGGTTTTCTGTGGAGTCTGAATTTAAGGAGATATATGGTACAGAAACTTTAGGACTTTTAGTTACAATACTGATGCACAAACATGGACTCAAACACTATTGTTACAGTCATTACTTTGATCCATGCAGACAGTTGTTAAAAGAAAAGCAATCTGCACTTTTACCTGTTTTCAAATCCAATTTCATATTGAAAGTGTGTTGCTACCACAAAGCTGTGAGCCATCTAATCTGATAGCAACCAAAATGCTATACTTCTCAACTTACAGTTTGGCAAACATTATGTATACGTGGTGAGAAAGGTAAAACTGTGTAACGGACCACAGACTTGCCAAATATCACTTACAACACTTGCTGTTTTTTTAACAATATTTTTTGGCAATACTGAACAATGTGAGAGGTAGAGAAATGTAAACCAAAAACCAAAACCAGAAATGCTTCTGAAGTACAGTGTTGTTTCATGAAAATAACAATACTCTGAAATGTAACAACACAGTCAGGTTCGGTAGTGAAATGTGTGTTTTTGACTTCTGGGCTTGGAGAAATCCACGTTTCCATAACCCATTGTGCCAGTAATGTTTTCTGACAAAAAAGTAAGGCTGGTTCAAGTCCCTGTTGCATTTGATTTGACCAGACTCCCAAGGAGCACAGCTTCCTTTCGAGTCAAGGCAGGTGGATGGAGCAGACGATAGGAGCGTGGAATGATTTCCGGTGGGTTTGTTCATGATGGAACATGGCAGTGGTGGTGGGGCAGTGTGTGGTAGGGACAAAGCCCTGAGTGCAGGACAACAGTGCATGCTTTATTTTTCATAAACTGGCACATGCTCTATTTCTATTTAAAAAAGATATATATAT